TTTTATGTAATGAAAGTAATAAATTCAAAAGGACTTTTTTGGAAATGGTTTGTATTAGCAGAAGTGATAATAATTTAAACAAAAGATCAGAAATTCAAAATCTAAGCAAAATTTATAATTATATTATTTCTCTATAGTTTATTCATTAAAATATCACATTTTAATTTAATGTTCCATATACTTGTTACATTTTTTAGACATCTATCAATGATGTATTAATCTTCTTTTTTATTACTAAATAAAAAAGAATTTTTTAAACAAAATTTTATTTTTTGGCAATATAATTGTCAAAAATGAAAATTGTAAGTTGGCATTCATGACATTGAGGCTTGTTGTAATTGGTCGCATTTCTAACTTATTTACCAATTCGATTATTTTTCTTAAAAAGTTTTACAAAATTACTAAATTTAGAGAAAAATTTGATATTTGTTAAAATAGTTTTTTAACATGTTAAGCAGTGTAGATTTACTAACAAAACTAATTTTATTTGGTGAGTTAAAATTTTTCTTTTCTAGTTTCACTTTGTAAGATTTTTGTATTTTTTAGAAGCTCTTGATAAAGATTGTAAACACGATTGAAAGCTTGACATAAAGAATAGTTTACCAATAGCCCCTTTTATTGACTCCAACCCATGAAAAACATATTTATATATTTTTTCGGAAACCTAGAGTTAAGATTAATACGATTACAAAAATTAATATTAAACTCACCAGTCTTGCGGGTTGAACCGCGTCGATATCTATTGGGCCGAGCTTTCGACATCCTCTCTGATGTCTTCCTCAGGACTTTCGAGGTCTCAATCTCCCGAGCCCCCAGACACTACTACACTTGTCACTGTTCACTTCACTGTCACAGTATTGAATACGAACTTTGAGATTTTTATGAGAAAAACAGCTAAAAAAATAGGCTAAGTGTACTCTTTTTTCCTTTATTTTTCCAATATTTCGTCGATAATCATCGACATCATCAGAGATAAGCTACAAATAGTTTTACATGAAAAATTGACAGTCTATTTAAAAAAATCGATGTTACTTACGAAAAAAATTGTATAAGTTTTCTTACAAAGCACATGTAGTGTATATTCACAACACTGGTACAAAAACAACGAAAAAGTATTTCCTTTTATGCATCGGACTGAAATAAGTCCTCTTTCGAGAGTTCTACATCTTTTTTGTTTTACTTTGATAAAATGAAAGGTAGATATTGAGCACTGTTTTATTAGTTAAATCCTGCCCAAGTACTTTTGCTTCCTAGAGCATCTTCAGGGATATTTCGTCAAATTTTGGACTGTCTTAAATACTGTAACTTTCTTATTTTTATTGTGTTTATTATTTCGCATTCTTTGCCCATTTCTCGCAATACTTGAATAAGATGAATTATTTCTACTGCTAGGCACGTATTCTGATTCACTATCCGAGTAAGGGTCAGTTTCTTTTAGTTCTAATGATAAATTAACTGTATTTTCACTCATCATAAACGAAAGAAGGTTTCAAAATTCAAAATTCAAAATTCAAAAATAAAATTCAAATCACACTGACACCAAGATGTCTTACACTAAATGACTTCTGAACATTTTTCAGTATATTTCTGACGCTAAATAAAGTACTGCCATCTGTTGATTTTCCTGTGACGTATTGACTTAGGAGTTTTGTCTGTAAAAAATTTTAACTGTTAGAAGGAATCTTCAATACGTAACTGAATTTTTAGTGAAAAATGACTTACACTGATTGGCTTCTGAGCTTGTAACGAAAATATTTTGCCTACCTCAGGTAAGATCATGAGGGTAGAAAATTGGGGACAGAAACTAAGGGGTTGAGATAGGGCAAGCAAAACAATCGATACTTGTGCGTACGGCACTCAGAGCTTAATTGGAGAGCTGGGTCGTGGATAAGTTGAATAAAAAAGGTCGGATTGGGGTAACTACAAAACGAAACAAAGGGATACTTACATAAATCTCCTGGAACAAAATGAACAAAATATGACAACAAGAAATACCTCTAGCTATTTCAATTCCGACGCCGCTTCGAGAAGACTTCCTGCAGGAAGAAAGAAAGGTTCTTCTTTCCTAAAATCAAGAATACACACAAGGGTTAGGAGACTTTTCTAAACTAAAGACAAACAAAATAAATCAGAGAAATAAATCAAACATTTATTTTTGTCTCAAACAAACAGTTACCAAATTACAGATGGCACAAAAAAATACTATATTAATAGTTGCAAAATACAAAATTACAAAGAAAAACCTTACATATCCTATCTGCTTACAATGGAAAATAATTACTATTAAACTGGGAATAAGCCACAATTAAAGATAAAAATACGTTTATTGACGTTTCAATTTCCACTTCGGAAATCGTTCTCAAAATACAAACAGTAAATTAAACAAATTTTGTTTTTGTTACATAGTGAAAAATTCTTCTAATAATTTAATTTTATCTGACTCATTTATATTGACAATTCAGACATACATTATGCATTTTAAAGTAGATGACTTTAAAATGATATTGCCAATATTGTTGAGTTGCGCTCCTGGGACGACTTTACTTATAAGATAGTTCATTCGATTACATGAAATCAACTTTAACTTGAGAATATTCGTCAGAAAAAAGTAATGGCGTGTAATTCGTCTTTAAAAAGACAACACATGACATAATGACAGTAAAATTCTCCTGTTAGTGATTCCATAGTAAATTATGAGGGAAAAACCAGGAATAATAAAATTTAAATAATCATAATTTACTATGGAATCACTAATAGGTGAATTTTAGTGTCATTATGTCATGTGTTTGTCTTTTTAAAGACGAATTACATGCTATGACTTTTTTCTGACGGATATTCTCAAGTTAAAGTTGATTTCATGTAATAGAATGAACTATCTTATAAGTAAAGTCGTCCCAGGAGCGCAACTCAACAATATTGGCAATATCATTTTAAAGTCGTCTACTTTAAAATGCATAATGTATGTCTGAATTGTCAATATAAATGAGTCAGATGAAATTAAATTATTAGAAGAATATTTCACTATGTAACAAAAACAAAATTTGTTTAATTTACTGTTTGTATTTTGAGAACGATTTCCGAAGTGGAAATTGAAACGTCAATAAACGTATTTTTATCTTTAATTGTGGCTTATTCCCAGTTTAATAGTAATTAATTTACAATGCCACAAGAAAATAGCTTCAGAACAATACAATGGAGATTGCTACAAAATCTTTCAAAATGGTTGCTAGGTTATTTATCACTGTGGCCAAAATAGATTATTGAAATTAGGAATATCCTTCCTTATAAATGAAAAAATCGTAAGGTTTAACCTTTTCTATAAACAAATCAAAAATTTTCACAACAAAAACAGATTAAAGCTAGCTGTCATATGTCAACATTTTAAGACAAAATAATTATGACACCTTTCAGCCACGCCCTAATATATATAATTTTAATTATTATAGATTCTTAAATTTTAAAAGAAAGCAAATATTCAAATCATGAATGTGTTGCTTGTGTGAGTCCATTTCAAATAGGTAAAGAAATAATAAATAAGAATTACTCACAATCAATTTAATTTAACTATCAGACGACCGGTTTCGCTTTCTACAATATGCAAAGCATCCTCAGGTCTCGATACAAAGTTAAACAAATGCTGAAATAATAAAAACCCATATTAGGGTGTTGTCTAATAACGGTAAACAAAGTAGATGTTGTAAATTACAATAATTATGCCAATATTACATGTCTGTGGTTTTATTTAAATGAGTAAGTTGAATAAAAAGTATAAAAGTTTTAAAAGTTTAAACAGACAAGGTAAGGCCCACAAATTGTTATCAAATAGTCTCTTCGATTGTAATAAATTAATAAATGAGCAAATAAATAAAATAAACATTACTTACATGCCGGTACTCTATTAATCGATGGATGGTAGAACATGGTTGAAACTACTATGTATTGTTGAATGGAGAACTCAATTCTACTACTGCAGTTGTTTGACAGTAAACGGGAAGTTCTTGAGGAGACAGATTTGATCCAATGAAGAAGAGATATGTGTGTGATTGTTTGTTAAATGAAAGTGAAGTAATATACTATTGTGTTATTAAATGCTATTTATACTTATTCGAGAGATATATTTTTTTAAATTGTGTGTTATTTATTGTATATTAAAACAATTACTCAATAAATAACACACATTTCAAAAATATATCTCTCGAATAAGTATAAATAGCTTTTAATAACACAATGGTATATTACATCACTTTCATTTAACAAACAATCACACACATATCTCTTCTTCATTGGATCAAATCTATCTCCTCAAGAACTTCCCGTTTACTGTCAAACAACTGCAGTAGTAGAATTGAGTTCTCCATTCAACAATACATAGTAGTTTCAACCATATTCTACCATCCATCAATTAATAGAGTACCGGCATGTAAGTAATGTTTATTTTATTTATTTGCTCATTTAATAATTTATTACAATCGAAGAGACTATTTTATAAAAATTTGTGGGCCTTACCTTGTCTGTTTAAACTTTTAAAACTTTTATAGGTACTTTTTATTCAACTTACTCATTTAAATAAATCCACAGGCATGTAATATTGGCATAATTATTGTAATTTACAACATCTACTTTGTTTATCGTTATTAGACAACACCCTAATATGGGTTTTTATTATTTCAGCATTTGTTTAACTTTGTATCGAGAAATGAGGATGCTTTGCATATTGTAGAAAGCGAAACCGGTCGTCTGATAGTTAAATTAAATTGATTGTGAGTAAGTCTTATTTATTATTTCTTTACCTAAAAGCAAATATTGTTACTTAAAAAAATGTTAATTTTACTTGAGACAAAATTATTAATATCAAGCCCAGGGGCGTACTACAAAATTTTATGCATATTTATTTTATAGTTATAACAAATTTAAAACGCTACAAGCTTTCCAATTATATTTGACGTATAAAATAACTTGATTGATATATATATATATTGAAATATATTAATTTTTTACAGGCTGCCCTTGGTCCAGCACTGCTAAGCATAGTTGCAGCTGACTCCAAAGAACACGACTGGGCTTCAAAATTCCTTACAACGTGCGTACTCTCCATTATTATCACGGCTCCGACGGGAGGCATACTTATAACGATTCTGGGTCCTAGACTTCTAACTAAAACGAAGTTTATGCCAGAACCTGAAGGATGGAGAAGGAGTCACAGGCCATCGATTAGGGATATAAGTATTATTAACGAAGAGGAGGAAAAGGAACCGCAGGAAGTCTCCAGTGATTCGGGACAGATAAAAACTATAGCCGTTATCAAAGAGGTTGTTTAAACAAGTGAAAGGAATTTGTCAAAATGGAAAAAATAGTTTGTTTGAAATTATTTTAAATCTAATTTTGATGATCCTTACCGATCTAATGATCGATAGTGACCTACAGAAGTAACAAAAGTGATCTAAGTTTGATCTTTGTCTAAGTCTAAAGAGTTCTCGTAGAAAAAAAAATAGTATGCGCTGTACAACAAACTTATTTTGAACAACATACAAATATTTTATCTTCACGCTTATGTTTATATATCTATGTTGATGATCAGTGATTTTAAAATATCCCTTAAAAGAAGAAAAGGGTATATATATGAGTATCTTCTTTATGGTTTCTTTGAATATTTCCGTGTAAATATTCTAGGAACTATGACAAGTGTTTGTACATAATGCAGATCTAAATGTATGTATATACTAAAACTGTGTTTTAATAGTTGTAGTCAAATAATAGAATAAATAAAGATTATTTTTTATATATAGTTTTTTTTTCACTGAACCTAATATCTCGTTAATAAATAGTACTGTAGATATCTATTTCGTCTTTTATCTACCATTATATTATGATGAGCATTAATATAGGATTAACTATATTACAGTGTTACCAGGCTATAAAATTTTAAAGAAAAAGATGGACATTCATGTCTTCTAATACATAATCATTCATCCTGTGACCTTACAGCCTAATTTGAACCCAGGCCTCCCTTGCATCCTCATCTACATTAATGCCCATTGCTTTCTTGGTTTTTAAATAGGTCTCTTAACTACTGTATTAAAAGAGACAGAATGCTGGAAGACCTTTGTAATCTAGGTATACCTAAGAAATACATCAGTCTCATAAAAATGATGTTGCAGGGTTCAAAAGCCGCAGACATGGGAGTAAGACAGGGAGTTGCCCTATAAAGCATGCTATTCAACCTAGTTCTTGAGACAGTCATCAGAAAAAACCAATATAACCGGCCATATAAACACCAAATCAGAACAAATTACTGCATATGCAGATGATGTAGCCATCATTAGTAGGAATAAGCCACGACTAATGAAAGTGTTCAAACAAATTGATCCTGAAGCAAGAAAAAGAGGTCTCAAAATAAACGAAGCAAAAACGAAGTATATGACAGTCAAAAGAATTACTGACAATGAAAATAATATCACAATAGACAACTATACTATCGAACGAGTGGATGCTTTTACATATCTCGGCACAGAAATCACTCAGAAGAAGGTAAGTAGCAAAATTAATGCACGTATCTCCAGCGGGAATCGTACATACTATGCTAATAAAAGATTGATGACATCGAAATTATTAGACAAAAGAACCAAAATGACTATCTACAGAACACTGATTAGACCCGTAGTAACCTATGGATGTGAAACTTGGGTAATGACAAAAAAAGATGAAGCCCAACTCAGGACATTCGAGAGAAAAATACTGAGGAAAGTATATGGCCCGGTACAAGAGGAAGATGGCACATGGAGAATCAGGAGAAACGACGAGGTTAATGAGTTAAATGAAGGTTATGATATTGTAAGATTTGTGAAAAGTCAAAGACTGTCATAGCTGGGACATGTGCAGAGACAAAATGATGAAAAAACAACAAAACAAATGTTACAATGGAAGCCCATAGGAAGGCGAAAAAAAGAAGGCCCAGAACGAGATGGTTGGATGACGCGGAAGATGACCTAAAAACAATGAACATAGGACAATGGAGAAGAAGGGCACAAGAGAGATCTGAATGGAAGGACATAGCCAGACAGGCAAAGACCCATCCAGGGTTATGATGCCAAAAGAAGAAGACGAAGAACTACTGTATTATTGCATTATACAGTTTTTTAGGTTTGTTTTCTTTTATCCTAAATACATGGTGTGCCAATTGAAGATGCTGTCTTCTTTTTCCAAATGTGCCTATTTTCTAGAGATGTTGGCGACCACATTGACCCATCTTATTCTATTCACAGCATCTCGAAAAGATCAATTGACGTTAGACCAGTCCATTTCCTAAGATTGATCAGCCAGGATATCCGTCTACGTCCAGGGCCTCTCTTACCTTTAATCTTGCATTGTAAAATCGACTGTAGAAGCCGGTATTTATTATTACGTTTTAGGATTTCAGGTCCCGTTTCACCATTTACCTGAACAATGTAATTTCTGTTGTCCTCAAACAATTCTCTTATGTAATTTTTTCTGTTGAATCTATAATAATCTTTCCGTCTTTGTTCTTAAGCAAACTTATTTGATGTCTTCTTTGAATTCCTATAATTTCTTTTACTTTTTTATGTTCATTGAATGTGTCATATTTTCTTTCATAGTTTTCCATTTTTGCACATTGTTCTTCAATCCATAATTCTTTGGCCTTCTTCTTTGCTTTATGTTCTTATAGACCTCTCTTTATTTTTGTGCATTATTTTTCATTTTACGTCTTTCATCGATTATTTCTAGTATGTCTGGTGTCATCCATACCTTGTGTTCCTTTGCAGATCTGGTTAGGCGTTTCTTATCCGTAACTCTTATTGTAGTGTTTATTTTTCAACTATGTTCTCTGTTCTTCGGATTTGACTTTCTGCTATACTGAGGCTGGTGTTTATTTCTTATTGCACTGTTTGTCGTAGGTGTTAACTTTTAAGCTGGCTTAAGTCAGGGATGATGGTTTTTCTTATTTTCGTTGGTCTAGCTTCTATCACAGATTCTACTGGATTATGATCGAAACCGATATCAGCTTCAGGATAAATTTTAGAAGACTTCATGGCATTGGGGTATCTTTTTGTCACCATTATGTAATCTATCTGGTTTCTGATTACTTTTTCTTGAGTGTGTTGAGGTGACGTCCACGTATACAGTCGCCTTGGGAGTAATTTAAAGAGCAATTTAAAGAACTTATTAGTTATTATCAACTCGTCGCTTTGACAAAACTGAACTAAACGGTCATCTCTTTTATTTCTCTTACCTAAGCCATATTCACCGATATTTTCTTCAACTTTACCCTAACTTACCTTGGCGTTCAGATCGCCCATTACTATGTTAATGTGTTGTCTCTTTGTTGTTCTCATCACCTCGTTTAAAGTATTATAAAATTGTTCTATTTCCTCTTCGTCTTTGTCTTCTGTCGGAGCGTACACTTGTATGATCTTTATTATGTTCTTCTTATCTTTCTATTGTATTAACATCACACGCTCTGAGAATGGAGTAAAGTTTACTACAGCATCTTTCCATTTTTTTTTGAGATGATGACTCCAACTCCGTATCGATGTGTTGTGGTGTCACTCCCGGTATAATAAAACATTCCATGATTATTTTTGGGACATTTGACTTTTCCTGGCCATTGTGTATCACTCATGCCTAATATGTCTATATCCAAACGGTCCATTTCCAACACGGCGCCGGCGTTTTCTAATTTTCCCGAAGAGAATAAGCTCCTTACATTCCATGTAGCAATTTGTATGGTTGTCTTTTTCGTATTACAAGAGTTTGGCAGGTTTACGACCGAGAAAGCCTTGTACTTATCTATTTGTCTTCTCCTGCCGGATCTTGTTATTCGATGTCCATAATCACTATTTCTCCTTTGCATATCTTTCATGATGACTGTTACTAGGGGTACTCTATGAGTCTTTAATGCAGTGTTTCTCCGTTGGTTTCTGCATCCTTATGCCATTGACCATTCTGTAGGGTTCATCTGCCTTCGAGACCGATTTCTAAGTCTCAGGACAAAAGAGTGCCCTACCACTTACCAACTCCTACGCACGAAGCCCTTGGTCAGTAAGTGGGGGACTGCTTATACCAGCAATCACTTGGTGAAATTTTCGCCATATCTGGCTATCCTCACTTAGTTTAGCCTGCAGACAAATGCAGTTGCTCGGGGTGCGGCAAGTGGAGCCATAAGTGAGAGTTAGATTTCTTATGAGGACCAGTTAGCAATAGCCATCTCCCGTCTATGACACACGATGTGGTCGTTCCAATAAAAGGTACTATCTCTATAAAGCAACGCCACACCCCATATCCTTAATATTCTTAATATTTTGTATAAATGTGCCCTGTTTATTGAGTCTTATGAGTTTTATAGTCGGTAAAAAATAATCTAGACATCTTTGTTATGTTCCCAGGCTTTACTTAAAACCTGCTTATCTATGAACAGTTAATCGATGTTTTATCTTCCTTGCTTCTTCTTCTTCCTTGCCTTAATCTTGCCTAATATTCTCTGATAATATCTGCGAGAATTGTAAGAGGTAGCCAATGATTAACTATACTTATTTTATATAGTAAATATTTTATATCCACAAAACAGCAATGAGAGTTTGCACAGTAGGGAGTGCCTACCTAGTCTGGAATCAATCTGTTCACGCAAAACAACTAGATATAGCCTTGAATGAGACATGTAGAATCGTATGTATAACGCATACCCACTTAACCTCTTCTATAAGACGGCAGGTTTCTCATCTCTCCGACAACGCAGAACAGCAGCTGAATATAAAGTTTAAACAAATCTTTCACTGCACAACACGGTACCCAACCGTTCGAGGCTAAAATATAGAAAAAGCTTCCTGCGTTGGGTGTTAGTAGACAAACCAGAAAACTACAAACCATACCAAGAAGAAAGACCGTCCGATAATAATCTCAAATAGAACATCTAACATTGTAACGATGTGCTGAACGTTCAACAGATCGAACCGTGGGAGTGTCGATAGTCACGCATCCATTTCCACGACGAATGGAAGTCTGGTGGCTAACGCTCTAGGCTCCCTGGCTCGCTAGTGTATTGAATCTGCGAGCCGACCGGACAGAGAGACTTCCGCAGTGAGGATTATACTCTGTCCAGAATCAAGCAGAACGTGGGTATTGTGGATTGCACGTTACCGTGGATCTGCACAATCTAATATTTTGACTGCGAGGATGTTTGGTGCTTCCGCTGAACTGAGGTGGAAGCGAGTATAAGTCTGCGTGCGATCGAATTCGCATATTGCATTTTTTGTTAGTAATATTTTTTTTCTTTACAGACGTCCGCCGGGGAATTTACTCTCGCGGGATCTAGGGGGGATACAGAATATAGTTTATTTTTATTTTTGTACAGTTGCGGTCACGGAATAGTTTACAGGTTCACGTATCTAGGAGCCCATTTTTTAAATTTTTACTTCGTTTAAACGCACCTTTTACGTCAAAGTGACGTTGCCAGTGGTGTACTAGCTAGAATAGGTAGATTAAAATTAAAATATCAAAATATTTTACAAGATGAAAAATATAGAAAACAGTTTTTTGAATAAAATGGATTATGATCTTAATAACGAAAATAAAGAAGTCTTTTTTTTTAATATACATTTTATTTTAAATCTATTTTATATTAAATAACGATAAACAATGATAAATAATAATTAATATTTGGTGGAAGCCCCATTCTTGTCAATACAATTTTGCAGTCTTCTGTTCATAGATAGCACCAATCCCCTCATGTTATAGTTAACAAGCTCTTCTCATGCCTGCTCAATTG